CTGTATTCTTCCTTACATACAGTAACTCACCAAATCCCATAGCCTTCTAACTTGATAATGATCTTTGAATCAGTCATTTGTCCACTGGCATCCTTTAGCGCAGGGGTCAGCAAACTTTTTCTGTAGGGCCAGATCACATCCCTTCTCTGCCTCTGAGGACATAGCTGGCAGGTCTGCAGGCCAAGGAGCATGGCAGCCATTGGATGGTGCCAGCCCACCAGCAAGGAGGCTGCTGATAGGCTGCTGCTGTTACCCAGGATTCTTCACCCCTTGCCATGGGAGCGCAGCTGAGGTTCAGGCCTGGCGATATACCACCCACCTGTCCATTCTCAGCTTATAGGCCATACAAAAGCAGGTGGCAGGCCAGGTTTAATTCGCAGGCTGTAGTTTGCTGAACCCTACTTTTAAATACCAGTTCAAAGTTGAAACCTCCTTCTGAGTTGAAGATGTCTTAAAAATCATTTCTTGTTTTTCTGCGTCTGTTTCCATCTTCAATGTATTTACAAATGTCATTGTAATAGGGGGGGGGGGGTTCCTAATGTACTACCATATTACAAATTTAGAAACTCTGGACTGTATTTGGGGTAGGAAGTAATTACATAGTTCAATTTTTTAAACAAACTGGCCTAATGCTTTCCAAATTATGATGCAGATCATAATATACTTTCCCTTCAGATTCTTGTTTGATGGATTTTGTGCACAGTCCTTGTTTCAAAATTATCAGTCAAAATCTACATATTATAGAAAACTCTGCAGAAAATGCATGTGTTAAAGAAGTTACTTATGAAACACAGCTATGCATATATTTAAAACAATCAGAATGAGATGGTTGCTTGATAAAATTAATTTATGACTATGTTTATGCAAAACTTAAATGGATCATAAACTTGGTTTAATTTTTTTAAATTGTTGGCTTCAGAGGGGAAAATAAAAATGTTGTTAATCTGCAAAGCAGGATTATTCTTCACCTGTTCCCTCTTTGTACTCAACAATATCTGAATGCATTAAATAAGATTAGCTTTTGGTACAGCAATTCTGTCTTACTCCAGAGTTCATTGTGGCCTTGAATATTTGAAAAGGACCCAAAACATTTCCTCCTCCAGGCGCCTCATCCATCACAGGAATGTACTTTGCATCCCATCTGTTATTATAATGTTATTTGAATAAGATATCAAACTTGATGCTTACTCCTTTCAGGCATCAGCAATGTACCAGCATATGTCTATATCCCATCTAATCTCTTTTCAGGCAGTGTGAGACTTATCCCTACAATAACTCGTCATTGCTCTTTCTCACTCTTACATTTGCTTCTCTCTAAAGGTGGCAGTCAGTGCTAACTAGAAGATGTTTAGAGAAGGGCATAGTGGGGATAGAACAGACATTTGTATTGGTATGCTGAGTACAAAGAATCTCTGGGCTATTGCTAGAATAAAAATCAATATGGCAAGTATATTTTCCTTCCTAGTATTAAAATGTGTAAAATTAAAAAAGGGTGTTTTTCGCTTATCCTACAATGACAAGATAGCTGTGACCACCCATTAGAAAAGTATATGTTGATAGTGTCCTCATCTCAAAAGCCCACTCTACAATAGATTATGGAGAACCCCAATTACCCAATTTCAAAATTTGCTCAGTTTCCTTGTCTACTAAGCATAGCTTGTCTACTAAGCAAAAAGGAATATAAAAATATTTCTTTGGAGTAAGTGAGCCACAGTTGATAGTATTTGATCTTTCTCTCTCTCTGTGTCTCCCAGATTAAGGCTGGGGGGTTTGAGTTCTCTCCAGGAACACTGCTGATATATTCTGACAACTTGCTGACTTTGCCAGCCATTATTGGCATTGGTGGAGGAGGAGGTCTTCTCTTGCTCATCATCATAATTGTCCTTATTGCATACAAACGAAAGTCTCGAGATGCTGACCGCACACTCAAACGTCTCCAGCTGCAAATGGACAACTTGGAATCACGTGTGGCCTTGGAATGCAAGGAAGGTGAGGATGTCTTTTTTCCACTATTCTGTCATTTATATTGTTGTCAGCCCACTACTGTAAGAGGAAAACTGCAGGTAAAAGCTGGTTTCGGCGTTCCCCACTTCAGTGCTGCTTTTCTTTTCTTTTTTCTTTAAAAAGCACCAAATGTATCACATTGGGTACTGTATGGTGGGCAAACTCCAACGTAAGAAAATGAATCTTCCTCCATCATGGGTAGTTTGGGGTTTCCCTTATGTGCCTCCATAGCATTCTGCCCAGTTTACTTTCAGTAATTTAGCTGCTTGGAAAACCCTAAAACTTCTTTTCTTCATGAGAGAGACTATTATACTTGCAGGCCATTGCCCTGTGAAACAAGCAAATCAGACAGTGATTATTTTTTTCCTGCCCAGATCATATAGTTTCAGCTGGCCATGAAGCAATGCATAGGTTTCAACCTTTTCATTTATTATTCTTTATGATGCATCCATATAATGTAAAATACTTTTCTGTTATTGAAACAAGGCAAGTCTCCTTCTGTAAGCTACCTGAATGGTAGACTATCTGGAAGCTACAGAAGCCATCCAGTTTACAGGGAAGAAGATAAGAGTAGAAATGTAAAGTAGCAAGGATACTAGTCATAATTTTATTGTTCATGAATGTCCTAATTACAGGTGAAGTTATATTACTAAACAAAAATCACAGTAGCATTCACTGTTCTTTTCATAATGTTACAGGAAATTGTTGCCTATACATTCTTGGTTGCTCCCCCCCCTTTTTTTTTTTGCTGAAATATGTAGACCTGTTTCATTTACTTCCATAGTCAGTGTGGTACAGTAAATGTCAGAGTAGGTGTATGGACACCCATATTCAGACTTAGCTTTGGATCAGGCAGTATAATAACTATAATATCTGGACCACAAAAATGTGGATATCTGGAGTTTTGTGGATCTATAGCATATAGTAGAACAGAAAGATGTGGGTTCTCAAAATTTTAAGTACCATATCTCCCTAAAACAATAAATAAATTTGTGCAACATCTCCCTCCCCCATTAATAGAGCTAATAATTTCACTGGGATTAAAGTTAAGTAAGAAATAAATATACAGTACCACTTACATTTGAAAATTAAATCATTATATATCACAGAATTTTTCAAACACTCTGGTTACTATCATGCTCTTGGCCTCTACTTAAGACTAAAAGGAATTCCTTTTCCAATCATGAGTCTCTTTCGCAGAAAGTCAAATTCTCTTTCGCAGAAATGTGTTAAGAAAGAGAAGAGGCTACAAAAATTCCGGCAACTGAAATATTCCTTACTATATCCCCAAGATATATTAAGACAGATTCCTCCTTCTCTTCTCTTCTCTTCTCTTCTCTTCTCTTCTCTTCTCTTCTCTTCTCTTCTC